TATCTCGAGTAGTCACAAATCTCACGAGATTTCGTCGGAACACGTACACTGCTACGTGATAAAGTTTCCCATATAAACTTGTATGTATATATACCTGAAGAGCCATGTGAAGGGTGAAGGCAGCTAGTTTTGTAGTCGGTCGTTAATCTTATTTTTTCTATATATATATATATACTACCTTTCCGTATTATTTGTCTCCTTTTCAACAAAGTTAAACACTAGCATGTGAACTATATTACACGGGAGACAATTTTGACTTAATTGGTGAAACTTGGGCAACCATTACGTAATGCTATTTCTAAGCGGGATATGTTACATAGTATAGAGACAGATAGAGAGTGTGAGCGCAATTAGTGAATATCTATATCTACAGCTAAGTAGAAGCTAGGTCGAGATATAACCATAGTAGACATTCAAGATGGTTCGCAGCGATGACATTCGACTATTAGATTAAATTACACACTTAAAATGTATTTATTTAATAAACACGATTGGTTTCACTATCACAAGTGTAGTTGGACCATACGTGACTGTGAAAGTGTTTGTTTAAAGCTGTGGACCCTGTACGCTGGTATTATCTGACAAGGCGACCCTTTTTTTTACATTTAAAACTCTGTGTGCTGGTTATGCTAAATCATACTTGAAGTTTTACATGTTAAGTGGTATTAGGTTGATATGTTCACGGCCGTATCTGTTATGTAGTTACCGGTGTATAGATAACAGTCCCGTGTAGCCATGACCGCGCCTCCTCGTAATCAATGCAATCTTATTCAACATTTTGAACGATTCTAGGGAAATTGGGACACCTGATATTTTTCAACAACTCCACGTTACATTAATGACTCAAATTTCAGACCCGATGATTAAGCTCCCATTTTGAAAGTATGACCAGCTTGACGAGACATGAGGCATGCATAACCGAGGTTGTAATACATTTTTTTTGGATAGATATCCAAACGATTTTCGTTCGTAAGTAAAAATAACTCAGGAAAACATTTGTGTATTTTGAGACATGTTAAGAAAACTCATTTTGAAAATTCAGTTGATGTCTCGCGAACAACCTAGCCCCCAGACTAAACAACAACATATTGTCCCATAGAAATAACTCTCACTCCATGTGATGTGTACAGTCTGTATACGTCGACGTATTTATGCTGTATATAAGTGTCCGTAAGTCAATGTAGCATATGTTTGTGTAGTAAATTTATACTAGTATACCGTATATATAATTGTATAAGTCTATGTATATATGTTGTATACAAGATTTTATATATATCAATGTACTGTATAATTATATACACTGTAAGTAATTGGGTGAATGTTGTGTATAATTGCTATAAGTCGATGTGAACACTAGTATATATATTGTATTTACGTTGGTTTAGGAAATTGTACATACAACTGTTCTTCATGTAAGGCCCAATCTACTGACTCCGGGGATTAGTAGATTATGTATCTACTTTCTAAAGCTTAGTGGGATTAATACGCTTATTTATCGAATTCTGAAAATGTTTACTCAAACTGCTGTGCTCCGTAAATGTTTTTTAAAAATATGTATCATGCATGCAATAGGGAAGCAAAAAAGCGATTATTACATGTTTCTGGGGGCCATGCATAAGATGGTACGTATACAGTCAACAGGGACTTGATACTTTGTTACAGCTATAAGTGGATCTGGTAAAAATGCCACCCTAATTATGCTATATACGAGTTTATATCATCATCGGGGTGGCATTTTTACCGGAAGTTGATATAAACCCCTAAAACGTGTAACATTACTCTGAACATCTTAGTTTAGGTCCAAATATAGCTGTAACAAATTCTCAGGTCCCTGTGGTACAGACCAATATAACGGTTGTAGGAAATCCTAGTATATCCCTAAGACCATTATATCAAGTTGTTGTGTGTTCACTGGCAGTTAGCGTCCTATACACGTGTGATATATATATTGATCACGAGTTGGGTTTTAATGTTTAATGCCGTCATAGAAATAATGATTTCTAAAGGCCCACGTCGATACTGTCACCAAAGATGTACAATAATACCACTTCCGGTATCGACGTGCCTGTTTTATCAGATAGTTGATATACGGCTATAGCGGAAACGAGATAAAAGGTTTGAAGAAAACGGCTTAATTAGTTGTTTTTTTTTATCGAGTAACACTTTTAGAATTGATGAAATCGACTTAATAATGCCGCGACTACAGTGCCTGTTCATTAAAATACCACGTGTTTTATGACGATTCTATAAAATCTCCTTTCACTTTATTCTATCTAGATCAAATTATACAATAAAATGATATATTTTTTCTCGAAATAAGATATACTTCGTTTTTATATCGTTTTTGAAAGACAAAATGCAGATTTGAGGTAAATTAAATGTAATGACAGATCACACTTGAAACTACAATACAGAAACATCTATGAAGTTACTAAACACAATTGGTCCCACAACCACTACAGGGCTCCTCACTCCAGACTCATCGAATGAACCTGCTAGGGGTTGGTTAAACATTTTTTGTTACCCACTTGTGTACATTATTTCATTGGCCAATCTTTTCAATTATGACGTCACGTGTCAATGCTTTGAGTCGTCATCTTACATTCTGATGTCATGATTCACGGCTGTTTCCCCGATCGGAAACAGAAATAATTCATTTCCGAGGGAAACATACGATTTTCCAGATACAGTATACGTTATGCATGTATACGTTATGGGAGAGAAAGGTTACCAAACATATGACGGCTGTTTAACTAACTGTCGTTAGTTATTTTTTAAATTGTATAATATACAACTTGAAGATTAACTAACTAGAGTTAGATAAACATGATAACCAACCATCACTCGTTGGGGAACCTCTATTACGTCTTTGCGTATTGCAGAGGTATCTTCTCTTGGGAGCAGGTATTGATTGTTACGTCCTTGGTTTGTGTGAGAAAATTACGTAGGTTTCTCAAAAATTGATGACGTTACTCTCAAAAACAAGTGACGTAACAATCAGTACCTGCCCCCAAGAGAAGATAACTCTGCAATACGCAAAGACGGAATATCGACAATATACTAATTCTCTACTCGTCACCTTTACTTTACACAATTGATTCATTTTAATTGAAATTTTACATAATATAATGCACAGGCGTGTCGATGTATGCAAGTTATAATACAAACAGAACACAATATCAAATTACATGTATGCATTAATACTAAAGCATACACAGTAAGCCCTCAATCAGTTCTTGTTCATCATGGTCATTTATTCCTGGATGTAATCTTCTGAAACTTAATGAACTCCATGTGATAATCTGTGCTAAAGTAATCATTTTGAATTCTACACTATATGTTTATTCATGAATTTTATATTCACGAAAGTTTCCTGAGCCTTGACAGAAATAGATTCCACCGTTGTTCCTTGCGAATGCCCGTATAAATTGCAGTAATATATTCTAGCACAATACCACCGCTAGTAGGAATCTAAATATTTAAGTAGGGGTTTATATATTTGTTGAACGGAAATTAAATAAGTTATAAACCGATCGAGTTGAAAGCGTGGTTCAGAATCTATCCAGGCGTGGAACATAAAAAGGACTAGGAGAGTTTTGTAATTTGGGTAGGTGTATGTATACAGTAAAACACAGTGATATTGTTTGTATACTTACAGTGACCTTACACACTCGTTTTGGTTCGCATTCAGTTTCTCGGACGGACCACAAATGCCTACCATCGCGCGTTGTTCTAACACTGTATCACTGTCCACGGTACATAAGCGTAAAACATTTTAACAAAAAGCTCGTACATTCTAAAGAAATAAAAGAACTGCATGAAATCAATATCGATATGTGTTATTGTACAGTCACCTGTAAACTTTCGTAACACCATGCTAAACAATACAACCCATTACAGTGTTGAATTGCAACTTGTAAACATTCGTAGCCCCGTGTTATAGGGCGCGGAGTTGCTTGCTTGTTTCACAGTCCTTGATTTTTGTTGTTTTATTCAAATTTGATCAAACGATTTGTCATTTAAAACAAAATTATTGTTTAAACTAGAGTTTTTAGATTTTCCTACATATTTTTCGAGAGGAAGATTATTAGCATGGATAGTCATGTGACTTCCAGTAGCTTGTGTTACCGCTTTTTTTTTTTACCTGACGAACACATATTGGCTAAATCTACCGTGAATTATTATTTACCTGTATTCGCAATGAATAATTCAAATTTGTTTATTCAGATTTGGGCATAAATCATTCGGAATGATGGCTTCGGTTTTACATAGGTCTGCAAGGGTCCAGGGTATATTGATTTTGGGACAAATAAACGTCAGGTGCTGTATCCAAAAATTCCAATAAGGACTAATATTGTATTACTCGTATACCCAAATATGTACACAAAACATGTTATCGTTGATATATACCAGAATCTACCTAAACTGCAATTCAAAAGAGCGATAACCTTTTGATCGAATGATCACGAGGTTTTATTCTTTGTGTATTTTTGTGTGACAGATCTACACATCTTGAAATCGATTTGTGACAGATCGTCTGTGTTGGTCTGTGGTGCATCAGGTGTGCCTAATGCACGAACATCAAACTGCTTTCCACAAAAGCAGATCAATACTGATAACAAACGTCGGGGGATTTTATGAGCTTTTTGAGTTTGGGCGATTGTGTGTGTTTGGGTTCGAATGAGCGTTGCCGATATGACTTTAAATACATAACGATCTGAATTTTCCTATCTCTGAGGACACTGGATCGATCGGTCGTTGGATGGATTGGCGAGCGTTGCCCAACCAATATCTCCAAGGGTGTTTTACGGCCCGTACAAGCCCAATCGCAACATTCCGGCTATTTCAGTAACATACTTAACCATGACTACTATGTTATTTAGAGCGAACCCTTTTAGTGCGAGTTCAGTATAAAGGGTTTCTGTACTGTTTACTTTGTGTAATGTTAAGAGTGTGCTCAGTGCGGGGTTGTAATTTTTGTTTTGCCGTTCTTCCAACAGTATAACCACCGGGGGTCAGAGAGTGCGGGAGGTCACCGTACAGCCGCCACCAGTACTGGGGTCATGTTGACTGCACCCTTCGTCAGCGAGAACGAGGCTCGACCACAACCTCCTCCACCACCTTTCCGGTCAAAAACAGAGGTGAGTTCAAATCAGGGAACAAAGGCGTTACTGCAGAAAACTGTCATATGAAAATAAAGATAGATCGTGTTATTTACATTGATTGTCATAAAAATCAAGTCGAAATGTAAATTCTCACGTTAATCAACAAATAGCAATCGCGAATTCAAATATCTCAAAATTATATTTATAAAAACAACATTGGACAGATAACTGTTGTTCTTCATTTCACGGATTTAAATCTCACTGAAGTAGCCGTCATTAGAATAAGAACGCACGTTGACATCGACCAATATATATATATTTAAAGAAATTCAGCTAATATACATAGACCATGTTTGAAGATGCTACACTGTAATGTGATAGCGAGATAATATTACATATTATATATTAGGTTTTAAGAACCATCGAGGATCCATACAAGAGAGAAACATTAACTATTAGTAATCCCTAGTAAACATCTCGCAGAAATTTTACATCTCTGAGAGAAATGTTCAGAAATAATATACCATTGACCCAATATTAGACGGCTTCAAACTAGGAATATACACAGACATAATGTCAAAAACGTGTTGAACTCCTTCCCTTTTTTGAATCCTTGCTTGGAGACATCTCGCCGAAAATCAGGAAGAAGATTTGCATATTTCCCACTACACTCTCGTATAACATTGACGGGAACACTATATCAAGTGTTGACAAATTGAAATGTCTCTGATCATCATAAAAGTGTATACAGTTGCGTATTTTTAGCCCACATTGGCCAAGCACCTTATTGGCAAGGATAATCTGGACTAGAACTGTTGATTGTGACTTCTTGTGTGAAGGTTAATTCTGACTAGATTGGTGTGTTTTCATTTGTATGATTGATTTGAGTGTGAAGAAGTATTCTTATACTGAGGAACCACGACTAATAAAATCTCCCCTGCCGTGGAAGTATGACAGAGAAATTTCAAACCAACGATGGATATTCTTGATTCTCTAACACGAAGGTTGCTTAGAAATTCAAATATCTCATCCAACGGGTTGAAATTTCTCCAACAGGAGAGTCTTTAACTGAAATGAAATATATATTTGCTGCGTTGTTTATGAGTTATTGCTAATAATTTTAATGGCGTTAGTGAGTTTAAGTATTTACAGTGTGGTGTACATGATAAAAAATCTTTCATCGCATAACATTAGGAATTGTATATCCAATCCGTATTGCCCCCCGATCCATTTCAGCTCTCGGGCCGACGGTCTCTCTGGTTGACATTGGAGGGGGGCAGAGGTCTTGGCCATGACACCTAGGTTGTGTTGCGTATGAACATTCTCCTTTCCTAGCTTATCAAACTTGTCCACGTCTTATATAATCAAAAAGTCACCATATTTTGTTTTGGAGGCTTGTTGATAATTTACAACCGAGTGTACTTTAAAGATGTTAACAGCTAGCCAGTAAACTGTTGGTATTATATACCGGCCGGGCGGTAACAATAGATGTCTGGTATCGGTATTGGGTACATTTGTCACAGGGGCAGCTACATAATACTATCTCAGAGCTTAATGTCATATCTACCCAATTCTTAATTCATCTCTACACTAATTAAAGATTAACGTCGATACGGGTACGGCTGCCTGTATAGGATTGTCGAATCAACACTTACGAACATGATCACACCGTGTACTACTATACTCGTCAAGCAAATCTCACAGAGTAGATACAAGAATACCAACATGTCAAATATACCATGCTTTGAACTCAAAATCGATAAACCTAGGGGCAAAATATGAACAAAGGAAAGATGTGCATGGGGAATCTGGTAAGTGTACAAACAGAATAAGACCAAGAGTTCCGGAAGGGTAAGCGTCCTCCTCTTCATCGACGACACCTGCAAAGTACCTTCTAGGTCAGCACTGTAACAGATCTTCGCAACAACTATTTGCCGGATCACATTGACGGGATGAGACGGTGGAATGGTCATATTTACAAAGGATACCAATCCTTCTGCTGTTGATGAAAGTCTCGCTCGAACAGATCAATGTCAATCGCTACCAAGTCAGAATTGTCTAAGTCTTGAAAATCTTGCCCTACCAGCTCAGTGTCAGTCGTTCAAGAACTATCCGAGCATGTCCTTACGGTAACGGAAGAACCTTGTAGCCAGCTCCATCGTTCTGTTCGTCATAGACCAGCTCAGTTCCTGAAATCAAATTATCGCGGTTATGAAAGACTCGTGTGAACAGTTCAATCGTTCTAATTATCATGGAAAACTAGTGCAATCAACTCGATGTCAATCGTGACGAAGGAAACCTTTCGCGACCAGTGTCACTCGTTTTATAGGCAACGGAGGCTCCTGGGGCTATCTCATTAGTCATTCATTGTGAAGGCAATGGAAGACTTACACAAATAGCTAAATCGTTTTGTTGATCATGGGAGACTAGCTAAATGCCAATCGTTTGTATACGAAGAAAACAATACCAATACCAATACCAATCGTTCTATAGGCTATGGAAGTATCATTCTGAAAACAGTAAATTTGTAGACCAAAGACGATCCAGCTTAAACGTCGGTCGTTCTTTGGAACCTCATGCAGGCGGTCTGGATAATGCGAAGTGTTGGCGGCGCTGGTGTTGTCGGCGCTGTCGGTGACCTGGTCCATGGAGTGACCGAGGGAAGGATAGAGATCCCACGGAGTTGGAATTCTGCCTGTCGTGCCATATTTGGCAATTGTTCCTGTTCTTATCAGATCTTTGACGAATTCACACATAGACTATACAGTTCATAGTAGCACACGGCGCTAACATATGTCATAGCAACATCGGACCCTCTGTCGACAACAGGTCCTATACCTACCCGTCAAGGGTTGCTATTATCTCGCATTATTTTGCTGGTGAATATTGAGTCACGATTGTTAGGTTCTGTGTTAATGGATTTATCTTCTCTCCATTGTCTCGTTGGCTTTCCATGGATTATAGGATAATACCTCGGACTTAAAGGATAGACGTTTCGGAGAGATTAGGACAATACCAACCCGACTGAATTAGCTGTCTACTTAAAGGTAGCGGCATTGTTGTTCTTCTTGGAAAATATTTACGCGTTGTATTTACGGTCTTTTAGAATTGTGATGGCGTATTTCTACCGCGGAGATCGCACGGCCACTCGCCGCTGGCAGTTGATGCCTGGCATGAACGATGTACGTATAGTGTTCATAGATACATTGACCTCACATAGTTAAAGTTAACGGCGATTTCGTTCAGCTTGACGTTTCTCTAGTGCTACTATATATAAACTAGTCGGAGATTATGTTTCTCGTACATACATTTCCTAACACTTACAATAGACGAGCCCAATATCTGTTAAATGAGTACTTCAATTCAGCTTCACAACTTCCTATACTGAGCGTTTTTATTAAACGTTAATTATAGTGAAGTTATGTATATTTATCCTACTTAGTTCTAAGTTGGTAAATGAATTTGTCTACGGCAGAATTTTTAAATTAAAAACTTCTTTATGAAATGTTCAAATGCACTAAAATAAATGAATAAATAAATACACTGAAAACGAATCGGAATTGAAATAAATTGTATTAATGATCAATAAAAATAAATACCTCATTATTGTAAAATGACCACTTTTAGAAACTGCAATATGCATACTAAAAAACATGTATACGTCCAGAATATGAACATTATTTACAGTTTTCTATCATGAAATATCATCATCATCATTATCTTCATCGACGCAATTAGCAAATAATCTTCATGATAGTTCAGCTGTAATTCATACTGTGTCGAAAATAAACAGTTAAAACCAGCGAATATAAAAGACAACACAAACGGATTCAAGTTTACTACCAAGATTAACAGTATATGGTAAAACACGTTTGTTTCAGAGTTCTGAGATATCGTTATTACCGTATTAGGGACCTATATAAATACGTACACATCTGTTTCAGAGTTATGATATATCGATATTAGGGACCTATATAAATACGTACACATCTGTTTTAGAGTTATGATATATCGATATTAGGGACCTATATAAATACGTACACATCTGTTTCAGAGGTATGATATATCGATATTAGGGACCTATATTAATACGTGCACATCTGTTTTACAGTTATGATATATCGATATTAGGGTCCTATATTAATACGTACACATCTGTTTTACAGTTATGATACATCGATATTAGGGACCTATATTAATACGTACACATCTGTTTCACAGTTATGATATATAGATATCAGGGACCTATATTAATACGTACACATCTGTTTTACAGTTATGATATATCGGTATTAGGGACCTATATTAATACGTACACATTTGTTTTACAGTTATGATATATCGATTTTAGGGACCTATATTAATACGTACACATCCGTTTTACAGTTATGATATATCGGTATTAGGGCCCTATATTAACACGTACACATCTGTTTCAGAGTTATGATATATCGATATTAGGGAACTATATAAATACGTACACATCTGTTTCACAGTTATGATATATCGATATTAGGGACCTATATAAAAACGTACACATCTGTTTCACAGTTATGATATATAGATATCAGGGACCTATATTAATAGGTACACATCTGTTTTACAGTTATGATATATCGATATTAGGGACCTAAATAAAAACGTACACATCTGTTTTACAGTTATGATATATCGGTATTAGGGAC